GTACGTACGTACGTGTGTGTGTGTGTGTGTGTGTGTGTGTGTGTGTGTGTGTGTGTGTATGTGTATAAAAAACAGATAGATTTTATGACAATGTTTAGAAAATATCGCAAAAGTAAATTAAAAAATCCCTCTTTATATTTAAGATATACTCTGTTAAAAAAATGTATTGAAAATGTTCATACGTTCAAGTTTTCTGTTATATTTCAGAGCCAATTAAATTTATATGCAACATAACTGAGAACAAAAATAAAAATTTATATTTATTTACATAAATTTCTTAAATATCATATATTATCATATATTAGAATATAGTAATAAAATTAATATATATGTAGTAAGAAAAACAAAAAAATTGGATTTATTCGATATATTTTTTTATATAATACAATAGATATTCCATAGATATTCCATAGACGTAATCTATCATGTTTTTATATCATTTGAATATTCTCAGATTTATATATGTTCTTGTGGAAGTTTAATTTAATTTTTTTAGGATTAATCTTCTAATCTTAATCAACCCTTTCAACTCCCTTTTAATACTTACTTGCAATTTTATTATATCATACATCTTATAATTTTTAGATATAATAAAAAGTTGAGATAATTATTATTTAATTTTCATGAATCATTAAATTTTTTTCATCAATATTTTCCACTTCTTACAGATGCCGATTCTGCAAAAAGGCATTCTCCGACAGTTCGACGCTCACCAAGCATTTGCGTATACACTCCGGCGAGAAACCGTACCAATGTAAGCTGTGTCTGCTTAGATTCAGTCAGAGCGGTAATCTCAATAGGCATATGAGAGTCCACGGCAGTTCTCTGACGTGACACAATCCTACGCCAGTACAATCCGCGATGATGATGATCGACGATAGCAGTGCCGCGCCTTTATTGCCCAGGTGCTGTCGAATACCTGTGATTCGATTAGGGACAAACTCGCCGGAAAAGTAAAACGCGGAAACACAGCGACCTCCAGTGCATACAATTTATACTTAAAATCAATTTAATTAATTTACTAATATGATTAAGATTCGTTTTTCGATGATGGTGTAATTTATTAATTTAGTTAGGAACACGCGAGAAGACGCAGCTTAAGCCAAAAATCGTCATAAATAATTTTCTCGTATTGTACAGAAAAATCTGAACCAAGTGAATCATAAACATGATTAATATGAAAATTAAAAACAAAAATTATAACAAAATTACATATTATGATTTCAATTGTATTATACAATATGCTGAGAAAGAGAATGTTATAATGTTTTGAATTATATGATTACAAAAAATTATGTCGATTTCAATCTTCAAAATATAAAATCGGAACAATATTCGATAGTATTTCTTCTATTTGATCAATAATTATGCTTCAAATATTAATTAATACATATCCCATACATTATTTAATATTTTAAACATTATGAACTTTTAACAAAAATACATTTTATAGCCTATAGAATCTTTTAAAATTTTTCATTTTACTTATATATCTATTATGAAATATTACAAAAGTAGATGTTTATTATAAAAAAATTTAGATAAGAAGATTTTATTGCTGATAAAAACATTTACAAATTTATTTTACTTTTTTACATAGTATAAAAATATTTCATCTCAAGAAATGGCTTTTGATTCTCAATAATTCAACAAAAGTAAGGAGTGAAAGCTGCAATGCTGAATCGACTAAATTCTCAGGCGACGGATTTCTTCTATATAGAAAACATAAAAAAAAGTTCAGAGAAAATTATGACTGATTATATAGGAAAGTGAAGGTAGGTACGTAAATATTATTTTATCAATAATAAAACTTTATAATTGATCAGATTCTTTTCAAATAATCAACTTTTATAATGCGAGATATAAAATCTCATCTAAACGAAAAATTTTTCTTTTACGCAATATTTTTCTTTTATAAACAGTATTCCTTTAAAATTTCTCTTTTCTTTTATAAGCGTTATTTTTTTCTAATTGTCTCACACATATAATCTCACAGAGTTATAGACCAATTAGCAAAATATAAGTTGATGAGAACATCAAACGATTTCACAAAATTAAAAATGGCAGAAATAGTCTTTAGGATTAAAACAATTTTTTTAAATTATTTCTGATTATAAATTTGAATAATAATAGACTTGCATTCTAGTTCATATATATATATATATATATATATATATATATATATATAATATAATAATATAG